TATTTATCATTGATAGAAGCAAATTTCGATTATACTCAACGAAAATTGAATAAAATTGATTTTCTGTCAATTGGTTAAATAGAAATATTATTTTAAAGAAGAGACTTTTATAATAAATAATGATAATATACTCAATATCAATAAAATAAATCAAATTAATAATAAACTGTTTAAAAGTTAGTTAATATATATATTTATTGAATATATTATCTTTTATTTAAACATATTTATTATGTTTAGATTAATAAAAATCATTTTCTTTTTTTATTGGATTAAAGATCGATATTTAATATAATATTGATTATTAAAAAATTTTAATAAAGTCAATTATTGATTAAAAAACATTGAAATATTTTATTTAACTCAATCGAATCAACTAGTTTTTATAGAAATAAATTTATTTTATTTAATTCATATTTATCGACACTTATCGATTTACATTGACGACAAATAATTGAATTTTTAATTAGGAAAACAACAAATCTATTAAAACAGTTTTAAACTTCTAAGATTAAATAGAAAAAAAAACATGTTCATTTTCATTTAAATTATCAAATCGATGATTAATTCAATTGAACTATTAGTTTTCTGAACATTATCAAAATTTCTAAAAAGAAATTTTTTAAAAAGACTAAAACATTCAATTTTTTGAATTTTCTTTTGTTTTATTTATATATATGGGGAAAACAAGTGAGAGTTGACTTATCAATTTCTATCTAGTCTCATAAAAGTCTTCCAGATTTTTTCACTTAGATTTACTGCACAGGATATTGAGAAGAAAATCAATTAAATGGTTACCTTTTTCAACATCTCATTTTATCACAAATATTAACTTTTTTTGTTTTGTCAATCTGATGAAAAAGTTTCTAGTCAAACTTTAAAAAAAAACCCATAGATTAATTGTTGAATTCTTTTTAATCAACTTATTTATTTCGATAAGAAGTCTTCTAAAAAATTGATATCAATTTAATAAAGAATTTTTATCTTTTTTGTTTATATCTATCGATGGTCAAAGTCTATCAGACGATAAACGACTAGTTTTATCGATCAACAACCAACAATCCGTTTGATTATCTAAATATTTAGATCCCTTATTTATTTGTATCTGAATAAAAATCTTCTTCAATTATGAATTAATAGAATAAAATATTCTCTCTATCATTAATGTCTATCTTATTCATTTTAATTTCATCAACATTTTCTATGATTGTCACATATTGATTTTGTTCATTCAAATTTAAACAAATCATTATTAAATTGATCACTTTTCATTATTTCATCATCATAATCAGATTGACAAATTGATCATGAATCGGAATCATCTGTAGAATAATCATCTCAATTAATGCTCAATCTAACAGTGTCAAATATATATAGATTTAAATTATGGAGTTAAAAAGCATTCGATTTCTTCAACGAAGTTAATATGTTAAAATAACTAATTAACTCTTTTACATGATTAAATGTAATTATTAAGTTTTATTTCAAATGAGTATGACTAGTTCGATTTGAAACAGATCTTGAAATTATCAATAATGATTATCAATATGTTTTATACTGATCATCAATTCAAATTCAATTTAGTCTCATCATGACGAAAAGGAACAAATACGTTGATAATTTAACAATTTTCAAATAAAAATTTTAGTTGAATTTTCTGCTATTATTCAGTTAATACAATATATATTTAAGGTTGACCAAAACTTGTCGGATAAGATAACTTACTGAGAAATGAAAAATCAAATATACTATCTTCTAGAGCTTTTTGAGAAAATTATGTTTTTATAAGATTTTAAACAAATTAGAGTTAATTTACTGATAGACAACTACACACTCACAAGACGATCGGAGATAGGACGTATATGAGGTTGTAGACTGTCAAAAGTTCTACAAAATCATATATGAGAAAAATTATTTTAGAAACATTTTCGAATAATACCAACCACCACAAACATTCAGTAACCTATCATGTTTGAGTGTAAGTGTAGTCGTTTATCAGTAAATTAACTCTAATTTCTTTACAGTCTTATGAAAAGAGAATTTCCTATATACAATTCGACACACCTCAAAAAGCTCTACGACATCGGATATTTGCTTTTTGATTTTTGAATAGGTTACCTTATCTGACAAAGTCCTTTAAACATCGGTCTCATAGAAATAATGGTCAATCCAATGTATATATATACCCTTATATAGAATTATGAGAGAAAATTCTTTTATCATCTTCATCTAATAGATAGTACGTTTTTCATGATACAGAAATTCGATGGCATCTCTAAGGCTTCTAGAACAGTCATGTAGTCTTCGACTCTCTTGAAGTCTCATGAAATCTTTTGAAGTTTTTTCAAGTCTTTCAAAGTGTTTTGAAAATTTGAAGCCTCTATTATCAAAATCCGCTGTTTTTCTCTTGATTTAAACGTAGGTGAAACGAGGATCTTAGCAAGACAATAACAAGATCAGTCAGAATCCTAAACTGAGAAACCCGGATAAGGTTTGATTAGGATTCTGCTCTAATTCTTATGGATATTTGTTATGAAGTTTTTTTTTGTAACTTTTCAAGAAAAAGCGTTTCGAATTCTTGCAAGGCAATACCAATTCTAATTAGGATCTTTATAGGAAACACATAAGGAGTTAGTGAGGATCTTTTCAGCTAGTGTTTATACTACCGAGCTTTGTTCATTTGTCGAGAAAACGTTGAAGGCTCTTTCACGATCATAAATCTAAAGAATCGCGTCGAGTTTTATTTCGGATCTTTTTTGGAATTTCTTTGGGCTCCGACTGAGATTTTTTCTAAATTAAGAACATCGAATCCTATCGGAATTCATTCTCAATCGAACGCAGAATCCTTGCAGGAACAGAAGATATGAGACTGCCAAGATTTGATTGAGTTTTAATCAAAAAGGATTCTTCAGGTTGATATGAGTATCCAGTGGAGAATTGTAGTTACATCAGATGAGAATCTTAACAAGAATAACACAAGATTAATCACAATTCTAAATGAATAAATCCTGTTAAGTGTCGATCAATATTTATTAATGATTTTATTCAAAATCCTGACACAGATGGATGTGAAGTTTTCCTGAAGGTTGCAGCTGATTTTTTTTCAGAATCTTTTCAAGATTTGTAAATGTATAGATGACAATACAAATTCTAATACCAATGTTGAGTAAAAATCTCAACAGTAAAAAAATGTAAGAATTTTTCAAACTCTTATTGTTTCGTTCCGAATGTGACAGAATTGAGAAGTCTACCAGGATTTTATCCTGATCTGGGTTAGATCTTTGATAAACAAAGGAAGCTTCTGGCAAAATTTTCGAATATTCTGTTATCGATCTATTAAAGATTAGTATTGAAATCAATTAGAGACTTCGGCCAATAAAATCAGTTATTTTTGTGAGTTTTATCTTGAAAGAGAATTTGAAAAATGATTAATTATGTTATACATTTCAGTTTAGTTCTTTCGCTAATTATTCATATATCTAGCTAATTTTTTTTGTAAGAGACAAATCGTTTGATCAAACCTGTTGATATCTTCTATAATGTGTAGAAAAAAATTCAAAATAGATGTTTTAAATCAAATTGAAATAAACAAAAACTAATAGAATTCGTAACACTAAAAACAATATTAAAAATGGTATTGGATTTTTGAACTTTTTTTCGATTTACTATGAAAACGCCGAAAGAAAAAACGTTGAACGAAAAAATCGAAAAAAGCCGTCGATCATGTAATATGTCGGAACTTTTCAGATGTCGTTATTGACCAATATTGATTTTCTTTCCTATTATATTTCTCGTGTTTTCTTTTGTATTTTCTTTTATAGTTTCGTTGATTAGCTAATACTTTTCCTTCAATAAGTCATTGCATGAGTGAACATTCTAGAATATCGAATAGACACAGAATACAAAGAAAAATCGAGATATTGTCTTATGACCGTATATATATTTCGCTCGCCTTTAGACATTCTAATATATTTTTCTTCATTTTTATGTACAAATTCTACGGTTGTGTAATGTCCAACAATACAAGTTCCATATCGTTTATTTATTCCAACAAAGATGGTCCTCAATTGATTCACGATGGTTTCGTATTCAAATTGAATAAAAGGACATCAACAAAAATTTATTGGAAATGCATAGTGAAAAACTGCACGGCGCATATTCATACAGATACCAACAACAATTCGTTAAATGCAACTGGTGAGCATAATCATTTGCTTGAACCAGACAATGTGAAAGTGAAACGATTTCGAACGATTCTCAAGGAACGTGTGGTAAATGAAACAGTACCAATACAAAAAAATCTATGATGAAGAAATTGTCAAAGCAAATTTTTCACCAGAAATTCTTGCATCTGCTACAGAAATGGACAAAATCGCACCGCCCCTTCCCGCGCTTCCCCGCGCCGCTGCTCATGCCTAGGCGCTAGCCACATCTCTCTTTCTCTTTGCTCTACCAATCAGTTTCTCAAACTCCACCGAATACCGGGATGTTCTAAGCATGCGCTCATCGAAGCTCAGACTAGTGTAGCGTAGGTGTGAGCAGCGGCGCGAGGAGGCGCGGTGCGATTTTGTCCATCTCTGATCTGTTACACTCGCTCACCAGATACGTATGACTATGATCGCTCAATTTTTGAATATATCTTTTTATTTTTTTTTCTTTAGTATCAGGATTGAATCAGGCACGAAGAAAATTAACGCCAACATTACCTCCATCAAATTCATTCGATATTTCTGATGGATATCAAACCACAGCCTCTGGTGAAACTTTCTTGATTTGCGATAAATTGGTTTCTCGGAAGAAAAAAATGTTGATTTTTGGTAGTCCAAAACAATTACAATTATTATTCAATAGTTCTATTATTTTTCTTAATGGAACGTTCTAAATAACGCCATCGTTTTTCGATCAGGTTTTTACGATTCATGGTTTGAAATTTGATTGTGGTACGATACACATCCTGTTTCATAAACAATCAATTGTATTTCCTGCCTTTCAGCTTTTCCATGTGTATTTGGCCCTATTACCTGATCGAAAAAAAATCGACATATCAACAATTATTTCAAGAATTAAATGCTGTTGCTGTATCTATGGGTCGAACATGGAAGCCTGAACAGATTATGTCTGATTTTGAAACCAGCTTGATTCCAGCAGTATCTGCCGAAGTAAAAACTATCAATCACTTTATATGACATATCTGTTTTTTGTTTTAGTATCCAGAAAGTGCTCACAAAGGATGCCATTTTCATTTTAATCAGTGCATATATCGACGTATCCAGTTACTTGGTTTAGCCACAGCTTATTCACAAGTTGAATTAGTTCGAAGTTGCTGCCGTAAACTGATGGCATTACCACTTTTACCAATTCAAGAGGTTGAAACTTCTTTTTATAATTTACGTGCAACAGCACATCCAACAGTGAAGAAACAACTTCGCGATTTATTTTTATATTTTGATGATTATTGAATTAATAATATACCAATTGAAATGTGGAATGTTCATGATTACCAACATTGAACTAATAATATATGTAAAGATATATACAGCCCTTCTTTTACAACATTAGATGAAAATGTCTATATTTAGGATTTCACAACCGATTAAATCGACGAATGGAACGAGCACATGCAAATATATCGTCATTCATCAGATGTATTGTTAATGAAGAAAGCCGATTTCAACACATATACATGCAAATGAGTACAGGTGCTAAACGTCGACCAATTTCAAGTTCTACTAATGGTATTCAAAAGCGTATTGATACTCTTATGGCACATTACAACAACAACGACATCGGCGCTGTGCAACTGTTAGATAACTTATCATTACTCATCGCGAGAAAAACATAAACTTTATATTAATCACGCACATCTGGTCCTATCGAACGATGCATTTTTTTATAGCTATTTGTCATTATCAATAAACGCATTTTTCCTTTTTTTTCAATCAAATAAAATAAACATTTTATATTTTTCATCTAACATCATTTTTCATTGATTCGACAGTTTTATTCATCCGATCTTTTTTTCTTTAGACATTTATTTTTTCGACTTTTTTTCCTTCGACATTTTTTCTTTCGGCATTTTCAATACATACCTGTTTTTCACATATTTTTTGTTCGCATACAATTCAACTAACAATTAACAATTTGATGGAGTGAAGATCTAGAAATTGATAATCTATACATTCATTTCTCTTCACTTCTCTTTAGAACACTCTGCAAAGATCCTCTCAAGAAATCGGATAACAATTTCACATTATCCTTGAGAAATCCTACAATAATGCGATTAAAAAAAATATTTCAATGAGGAATCATTGCAGTTGATCTGGCAGGATTCACGGTGGCGGATCCAAGAAATTTTGAAGCAGGTGGCGGATGGAAACAAATTATTAACCTTATTTTTTATAATTTCTCTAACACCTTTTATTATCAACTGTTCAAATTTACATCATGCATTCAATACTGTTATGTGTGGCAACAAAAAACTATTGAGAAATAACAACTATTACATTGGCATATAAGTTCTGAGAGGCTTTTTTGTGCTGTAAATAAGTTTGAGATTTTATATCTCGTGATTGGAAAGTGATAGAGGTCTGAAATTTTTAATGCAGATAAATCTCTATGACTTCCATCTACACTAAAAATTTCAGACCTCTATCACTTTCCAATCACGAGATATAAAGTCTCAAACTTGCTTACAGTACGAAAAAACCTCTCAGAACTTATGTGCCAATGTATTACTAAGAAGCAAGTTCTATAAGAAACTCTAGCTTTCTGTTCTTTTGTTTTGAGAACGTGTCGATGCCTTGTTCAACATCAATGTTAATCATGAAATGCATGCACATACATCATTGCTAGTCCATTCAAACAACTTTTACTCATGATACTTTGCACATAAATTTCAAAGGAGGTGGAGAGTGCCACTCCTGCCGCCTCTCTCGATTCATCACTGCAGGATTCTGATATAAAATCAATGAAAAGCTGTTCAGAATTCTCCTAAGATCTTGTTCGAAATCCTGTCAAAATCTTTGTTACATCGTGGCTACATATTTCTTTCGAGATTTACACTTTCCTCAAAATATTTCCGATTTTAAATTTCGTAGCAAACTGCTCAGCATCTTGAAATTCCATGGCTGCATGCTGCTTTCGGGATTTATCGGTTTAGAGAACGAATCCTGTTTGAAATCCAGTTAGGATTTTCGAATTCCATTGGCTATGCGCTTTCTTCAGAACTCAGACATTTCTTCAAGGAAAACCAGTAAATATTTCGAGAGTCTTTGTTGTATCTTTCAAGAATCCAGTGCGGAAACAACAAAGATTTTCTCTAAACGTAGAAACTTATATTTTTCATTCGACTTTTTTGTAATGCTATCGTCTATTTAGCTAATTTAACTGTAAATCATCGCATATAATTCGAAGTTTTCTATGTGAATCTAACATTTGTAGATACTTGTTCAGATCAGCAACACCACGACACTCACACACTTTTGAAGTCTTTGCTAATGAGACGAATTAGTATATAGGGTAAGGTCAAACTGTAGAAGAATGCATTTGTATTGATCTTCGGAGAAATAATGTCGATTTATATGAATAACCAATTCGAAAGTAATTATGTAGATGATAATGAAAATCGAGGAAAAGCTCGTTTTAAAGATCGGTTCTCATAAATAAAACAAGTAAAGTGATATGATTCTTTCTCTTCTTATATTTCTGTTGATCAATAGATGTCATCAATCTCCAGTCAGATAAACAACAATGGACGTCATCTGTAAAAAGATTTGAAAAGATTTTCTTTTTGTTTTTCTTTTTATGAAAAAAAACTGATGTTATTAAAATAAAATGAATTATATATTTGTTTTCACAATCCGAAAGAAAAGTTTCGAAATAGTAAAAATGACTCATTGTTGTCTTTAGAAAGATTGATCGATTTATTTACTATATTTATTTGATTGTTTTTAAGATAAAGTCGTAAAAAAAGAGGAATAATGTGGCCTGAAGTTGAACAAGCATCATTAAATCATCGTTATGAATTAGTTTTATCTGGTGATAAAATAAATAAACGTTTAGAAGAAAAGAATGAATTAGATTCAACAATCTGGAGATTAACTCGATTGAATTTTCTTGAAATAAGTCAATGTCCAATTATTGAATCATTATCTGAAGATATTGGAAAATTAATTAATTTATCAACATTAACATTAACATCAAATAAACTTCGTTATTTACCAGATCAAATGAAAAATCTTGAAAATCTTCGTCATTTAGATTTATCAAATAATCAATTAAATCAACTTAATAAAGATTTATTTTTAAAATTAAATCATTTGGAAACATTAAATTTAAGTAATAATTTATTGGAAGATCTTCCACCATTTTCACCGGAAAATAATAAAAAATTAGCTATTATTAATTTATCTAATAATCAACTTCAAACACTTCCTGATTTTCCACAACAATTAGAAAATCTTTCACAAATTGATTTATCATCAAATCAATTTGAACATTTTCCAGATACACTTTTACAATTAAATTCATTAAAAATTATTATTATGGATTCAAATCAATTGACAAATATTCCAAGTCAATTAAGTCAATTACATAGATTAAAAGGTTTTTTTTTGCTTTTTTTTTTGTTTCTCTCTTAAATTATATTCTTTTTCTAGAAATTCGGTTTAAATCAAATCCATTAAAAGATAATCGATTAAAAAAATTAATGGAACAAGATAAAATAAAAGCTGTTTTGGAATATTTAGCTAAACAATGGAATGAACAACAAAAATCAATATCGACAACATCAAAATCTTTTCCACAAAAACAACAAGAACAACTTAAACTAAATGAAGATATTCAAGATAAAATTGAAATATTACATTTTGATCAACCAGGCGATTTAAAAGGAAGACAAAGTTTGTTTGCATCGTCTCTTTTATTTTCGCATTTTTATTTTATTTTATTTCAGTTACACTATTGCCTCGAGTTATCAATGTTCGACCTCATATATTATGTTGTATTGTTCGAAATATTGATTTAGCAACACCAGGAAATTTAAAGAAATTTTTAAATATTCAAGTAAATTAAATATCATTCAAAAATAAGACATAGATTAGAATCATTACTATTTCGAGTATATTTTATCTATATTTATTTATATAAAATGTATTTTAACAAAAAGAAAAATCATTGATAAATAAGAAGATATTGATCTATTGAATAATAATATAATCTTGATTTTTTTAGGAAATATTGATTTAAAGATAGATCCATATCGAATATATCAAATTAGATAGAATTCTATCAGTTGTTCAAGTAGTATTATCGTTTTGAGATTATTTTCAATGATTTTCACATAATATATATTCATATTTATTTATTCGTTGTCATTATTTCAATATAACTATTCAATGTTGCACATGCATTGATAAAAAAAGGTTCTACTTTTCTCCTATTTAAACTTATTTTATTTATTCGAGTTTGTTTTTGTTTCTGATAGAATCATCTTAGTAATAGATATTGTTTTATTCTATTCAAATAATAATATTGATTTAATAAATCTCTTCATTTATTTATTTCAAAATAAGACTTCCTATATAAATAAATATACTCGAAATAGTTCAACTATCGAACAATGATGAAAAACTATTGATAATTATGGATAAGTGAATATCTATAGTTATTCCATTAGATTTTACTCCTTTGGATTTTTTAGGTAAACTTTCTCGATTAGTTTTTATTTTCAAATTCGACACTTTTTTTCTAAGATTGAACAAATCTCTATGATATATCTCTCTGACCAAAATAAACCGAACATCATATTTTTTTGGATTATTTCGTCCCATTATCGTTCTTCCACCTCATGTTTATATCATCGATACATCCTCGATTGATTAACTTATTCTGAAAGCTTCAGTCCTATAGAGTGAGAATTGGCAAAGAAAACAAAAAATATGTCTTATCTGATTATATATAACTGAAACCAATTTTTTTTTGTTTTTTCTATTATTTTCGATTCCATTCGGAATATCGAATAGTAGTTAGGTACCCCTAAGACATGACTATGCAATGAGAGATTTTAAAATGTCTCATTGCACAGTTATGTCTTAGAGGTACCTAACTACCATCCGATATTTCAAATGAAATCGAAAATAATAGAAAAAACAAAAAAATTGGTTTCTGCCATATATAACCAGATGAGACATATTAGTTGTCTTCTTTACCAATTCTCATTCTATAGGGCTGAAACTTTCAAAATAAGTTAATCAATCGAGGATGTATCTATGATATAAACATGAGGTGGAACAACAATAGTGGAAATAAATAATCGAAAAAACATGATGTTCAGTTTATTTTGGGCAGGAAGATATATTCTATTCGAGTATTGAATTGATCGAACATTAAACAGTTTTATGATAATCTCTGACTTCTGTTTCTGATTATTTTTTTATAATAAATCTAAATATAAAATATA